CACAACCAAACCAACAACACCGAATCATCCAATTTGATCCAATCCAACCACCAACTACTACGACCACCAACAACTACCTAGTTTGCGATATCAGCATCCGCTGGAAGCGAACGTAAACTTGTCATCTACCTACCTACCTAAGTACCGGTATTTCATAATGAAAAGTGGTAGCAGCTAATGAACTTTTCGCGTGAGGAAGTATATCAATCATAAGAGAGTAAGTATTTCATTATAAAAAAGTGGTATCAGGTGTCTAGAAGAGTAAACCAAGCACTAACGATTGGAACCGCGGAAAGAAACCTGCAATCCAAGCAACATATTGGCGAAATATTAGTTACGGCTAATAACTTCAATTTCACTTGTGTAAGTATATCAATCATAAATGAGTAAGTATTTCATAATGAAAAATTTAAAGAAACTCTTCACAATCCCTTTAACCTTAATCTGTTCTAGTATCTTAAAAAAGATTACACGAGTATGTCCCTTTAAAATGCTATGACATATCTACATTAATATCATCTGTTATAGAATAACTAACCGGATAAATCAATTACAATAATTAATCAAGAACCAAAACTGATAGTTCAATACCCACCTCTATTCAAATAACAAAATCGATCGTTCGGCAGATACAATCAGGAACAAAATTTATGGTTTGAAACGGTCATTAATATTATAGATAATGTATGGAAAATAAGTACAGTCGGAATCATGTTACAAATCTTGTTTTTTGTATCTTGTGTGGTCAGGCATAGATTGATGTTTCTCATGTTAATGGAAGTGGCTTTTCTAGGAAAGATAAGATGAGGGGGCGAGCAGGGTCCACATAGGTCATTCTTTCACTATGTAAAATGATAAAAAAATTACAAAAATATATTTATTTAAAAAAAATGTGTGGGGGGTTGGGGGGGGGGGGGGGGGTTGGAGAGGTGACCCGGGTCATTCTCTTTACTGGGGGACCATGCTCACCAACTCCCCAACCCCCAACACCCCCTCTCCCCCGTAGCAACGTCACTGATAGTAGTGGCGGGTGTCGTGTGCGAAGCACACCATGCGCTTACCCCCCTGTAACTACGTGCAAGGCTGAAGCATTCAAGCTAAAAATCGTTAAAACGAAATATAGCTATTCTAATACATGTCAAACCCCACTTTTTAAGTCAATCAATGGAAATCAATACATGCTTATATTCTTACCGATAATTAGTATCTCGACATGGGTTTGATGTATAAAGATATCGATAAAACAGTCAATAATCTCAAGAAATTACATGAATAATCTATAAAATTATATATTGAAACCTCATTAAGGTTATTTGTTTTTACGACAATTATTCTATAGTTCTAAATCCCTTATGTTCGTGTCGTTTACAAATTGCTGTATAATGTTCATTTTTGTATAAGGCTGATTAGACAAATTTAATTTTTATTATTGTAGGTAATATCAATGGACCGGTTGGAAATGACGTCAACATGAATAATAATAGTGTTAAGGTGAAATGAGAATTTAACTCATAGAAAGCACGGGCCGAAGCAAGGACTATTCATTTGCTGGTTAGCTTAATAAGGTTTTGTTAGTTTTAACAATAATAGATTTGTGTTGATGTTACTGGACTTGTCCTGTGGTATAATAAAGAAAAATCTGCCTTGTATAAATGGTATATTTTCCACTGGACCTATGAAATATAAAGGGGGACTTAAAAGTATATAAAAATGACTTGTTAGGCCATAGTCCGTTACCTAAAACAGCAAAATACATTATAACAATATATACAAAAATAGAGGATGTCATCTCAAGGCAATAGTTGTCCAGTTTTCTACAATATCAGTACTGGCTGTAGTTAAAAGTAGAACCGGGTATTAATTCACGGACAAATTTTCGTAACGAAAATTAGACAAACAGAATTTGAAAGCCATAAAATGTTACCCCATATACAGAAACAACTAAGCGCCTTAGACATGTTTCTTTTATTTCACCGTTCCCCCAAGTTGGTGTTAGGGTATATTGAAAGTTGGTCGAATTCACCAACAAACTACTAGATCATTGTGCTAGAAATTGTCATCAGATCATGGATTGCGAGTTGAGTGACCCAGAGAAAAAACACGAGACAAAATAATATTGACCTGTACTAAGATCAAACTGATTTGGAAGAAATATATATAATTTACCATTCATTCTTCCAGATTAACTCAGGTGAGACGTGCGTATCATTTTCACCTTTATACGGTAAATAACATTGAACATACAGCAACTTGTTCACTGGCACTTTCTAATTGGATAGTCGAGAAATGGAAACGAAAATAATCAACAACTCAACGACAAAACTCGATTAGGCAAATATTTTATTTCATAATAATATTATTTTATACTTTTGACAGAAATTGTTATTCATAGCATGTACATATATATAGTTGTGAACCCCCAAAAATATAAATAAAGCCAACAGATTATAGGTTGTTGTTTAATTGATCTTGAATAGGAGAGAGGCCAACGAGTGGCTCAATAGAACGTAACTGTACAAAACATGTACATAATTATAATATTCCCACATATCTATAGTCATACTTTTAACTCTTTTTCTTCAAAAACTGTATGATATGTAAACAAATTATTATGCGCATATCAAAATAAACTAATTAAAATTTTAAGTAAAAATAATATTCTGATATAAGTTTTAAATATTTTGTAAATAATAAAATACATGGTATAATAGATACAACTTTGAAATAATAATATGCACATAAATTATGTAAATAATATATACAAGAAAAGAATTTATATGTACATAATTCAAAAAATATAACCTCCAGCATTTATATATAATAGGAATAATAAAGAAAAAAAAAACAGACAAAAACAATTTAATATGTGCATAAATTATGTAAAGTAGATTCTGGACAGATTATTATGAAGTGAAATAGTGTTTCACACAATAAATTTCCTCTATTTGGAGAAAGCATATAACAACACAAAATATTTTCTGACAGTGAAAAGAATATGAGAATAATAATGATATGCACATAAATTATGTAAATGTTATTTAAATACTCTAATCATAAATCTATCCATCACATTAAATAGTAAATAATATAGATATTTAAACAAAACACAATGAACTAAACATTCAATTGACAATAATAATATGTGCATAAATTATGCAAATTATATTCTAGACAAAATAACCACATCAGTGATATATATATAATTATCTAACAAAAAAGCTATAAGCTAAACATAAAAATAATATCAATATGCACACATTTGATTAAATTATGCACACATTTGATTAAATTATGCGCATACCATTGTAATATTACGGCATTTAGGAATAAACAAATCAGACATTAGAATAGTTTAAAGTGTTTGCCTGAAAAAGGATCCATTCAGTCCCCAAGAGAATTCCTCAAATCAAAACATATCATGGACATAAATAGAATAGAACTAAAAATAAAAAACAATCAGATCACAAAAAGTTGTTCCCTTTAAAATAATCATGAAATAACTGTGTATAATTTAAAAATCAGCCTGAAGAGACAAGTTGAAGGTAATTTAAATGAATTGTCATAGTCTATTTTGTGATTTACTAATAATGCTATAAAAATTAGATTCCCCAACCATTACCTTTGAGAGTAATCTCGTCTGTTCGCCAACCCCTAGATCCACTCAGGATCAAAATATGAGATGAAATCATTAGGGGTAAGAGGGGCTGTAGGTTCAAAATTGAAACTCTGAAATCATGATTGTACTTTTGTGAGTTATAATTCATACATATATAAAATTCCCTTTTCCTAGAAATATATGAGAGTAACCACTATATAGCCTGGTCTTTACCTGAGAAACTACTATGGACCAATTTTGGCATTCCCCTGGGTGCTTGCTTAATAAAAGTTTGACTGTAATATCAGTAGATAACAAGTTGACATTCGCTTCCAGCGGATTGATATTGCAAACCAGGTAGTTGTTGATAGTCGTAGTAGTTGGTAGTTGAATTGGTCTGTAATCTTACATATATAAAGCACTTATAGTATATATTGTTTCTATTTATAATTCAACCAATCATCACCGCTCAATTAAATTCCCATCATCCTCTTCATCGTTACTATGGTTACCACAAGATCGTCTGTACTGCCACTGTATTATCATGATAATGAGCGGGAGAACACAGATACAGCAGATGGCGGCCATGACATAAGCAACTATTAACATGGATGATTGGTCACTTGCTGGCTTGATATAATAACAATCTTTTAAATTTTCTGTAAAAAATAAATTCAGTCAAATGGAGTAAAATTATCTCTCCATGTTTCAAAATTCAGATTTTATTATTTCAATCTTCCCAATCAATTTGCTGCCCGAGCACCACCATGAAATTTCCTTGCTTCAATATTATTTTGACATGTTTAACGATCCCATGTTGAAAGGGTCAGTATAAAACTTTAAATAAGGTAGGACCATCTAAGAATGTAAGCAATCACATGCTCCATTGATTCCATTGTGAAGATTCCTTCCCTTGAACGCCAAAAGAGGCTAGGAGTGAAACAGGTGTCTGTAGAAGTTGAGAGATGAGCTCCACTCCATTGATTCTGTTTGGAAAAAGTAGATATGTTTTTTTTTATATCTTATATCTAAATCATCTGAGAAAGTAATTTGTATCCTACCTGTTGAATTAATATAGCCCTCTATAGCAGGTTTACTGTGATTATTATAAACAGCGTTACATGGTGAGGTAGCGAATCCTACACGTTTGTTTTCTCTATCAAACACCACATAATATCCTTCCATTAATATAGCTCCTAGTACAGTTCCTGAAAGAATAAGTTCCACAATATAGCTTCAAGTACAGTTCCTAAAAGAATAAGTTCCATAATATAGCTCCTAGTACAGTTCCTAAAAGAATAAGTTCCACAATATAGCTCCTAGTACAGTTCCTGAAAGAAAAAGTTCCACAATATATCTCCTAGTACAGTTCCTAAAAGAATAAGTTCCATAATATAGTTCCTACTGGAACTTAACAACTAAGATATCCAAGGTTTCCTTCAGATCAGTAGTTAAAAAAGATGTTCAGCCTACCTGCTTCTGAGGAAGCTATACCAAACTTAAAACATTTTCCTGTTTCAAATGGATCTATCACCATTCGTAAATATTTCTGAAAAGAGAAAGAAATATATTCATATACTGTATAATTGTGAATATATTGCACACCATTTCTTACTCTTACTAGTAAATCTGGTAAAACTACACACTTATTTCAACTATCTGTACCACTTGGCAGAATGAACCAAGTCTGTCATCTACCAACATCTACCTAGTCTGCGATATCAGTTATCTGAGAGCAGACGTTAACTTGTCATCTACCAACAAAGAACACTGGATGTACAAAAAAGCAAACTTGATGAACAGGAGTGTGCTTTACAGGAATATTCAACTTACTTCGGAAGGTATATGTAG